GCACAGAAGAATGACCGTACAGTGAGCTTCATTTGGTGACGTGTTCGGGAGGATTATCTTCTTCCTAACTAAAGGATTAGGGCGCCTGAGTTCTGAACGAGCTGGAGACGTTGCATAGAGCGTGTCCTTACCTCCTGAACACACTGTTCCTTCCCACCCCCTGCCCCAAACCACGCAATTTCTCACTCTAAAAGAAGGACCCTGGTGAAGGGAGTGGATCTTTTCCTGCTTCATGGGATCTGAATACTCAGTCAGACTCTGGGAAAATAGCAGCAAGGAACAACCAAAGACCATAATTATTATTTTTCCCCAGAATGTCCCATGCTCTGCAGATTGTAAAAAGCACTGAGTGACTTAGGGAAAGACGCTCCCAAGAGGGTGGAAAATCAATACAACAGCAACTTTTGCAGGCAATCTTGTGAAAGGTCAGTTTTAATCACCTTGCATTTGTTGATCGATTTTTCTCACATGAGACACATTTAAAACATAGGTGAGGGATCAGGTTTACCAACAAACATGTAGCAGAACAGAAATTACAAACCTGCTTGAAGCTTCCCCTTGCTCTTGCCTTCAGGTGCGTGCAGACAGAAGAAAAAGGATGATACATGGTGAACACATTTACAGCACGTGATAATGACCAAACTGGGGAATCAAGTACCTTGATTAATCCTTTCTTTTCAAGCAAGAGCCATAGAAGCAAAACACTTCATCATAAATGTACCCAAATTTCTAACTTGTGTTTCTTTGTGACACAGACCCGAGATACTGCCCACATGTGACCGAAAGCTATAGAGTCTTCATCAGCCAAAGTCATCCAGGGTTTAGGAAAAAGTGGTTCTGACCTAATCAGCGTCAGTAGAGACTCTTAGAACTGCTGTGCTGGTTACACTGAAGCTGGGGTCCCTGTGGTTCAGGCAGCCTTTGGGGCTATTTAATCTGCTTTAGTTCATGTGTACTATGGCTTTGTATGTTAATAACTTGTTGAGGTAGATTTGTTTGTTTGTTTTTTTAATATGAATTCCTTGCAGGAAATTAAGCATATAGACAACCTAGCTTAGTGTTGGGTGGTCTAATAAACCGTTTTAGCAAATTCGGGTCTACCCAACATGGTGTAGGGTCCCTACTCTTTGTAAATGAGCTGTGTGTCCTTGGGCACATGGTTCACTTTCTTGTGGGTCTCAATTTTCTTATGACTAAATGGAAGGCCTTGAAGTTGAAAATCTCTAAATTCTAACTCCCTAAGGTGCCACATGGCTCTGGGGAGCTTGATGATCCACACAGCTTCATAACCTATCTGACTCATTTCCCCATATAGCACAGTTACCTGTGCTTCACCCTCTGCACAGCCTTCACTCTCTCTGAGATGAAAATCAAGAAAAGTGTTCCTTCCCTAAATCCTTCTGTCATTAAAACAAAACTTTGCAACTACTAAGACCTCAAAAGTGCATGCGTCAGACGGACCGGATCAGAAAGGAGAGTGTCCAGAAGGCCTGAGAAGCATCTCTGCCCCTGCCCCCTCACAGCTGTTCCATCATCCTTCTCCCTGGGATAACAGTGAGAGGTCAAGGCAGCCCATGGTGTCTCTCACCGGGAGGACAAGGTCTCGGGCTTCGGTCTTTACTGATAACAAAGCCATTGTTGCTGCTCCTGCTGTTGATAATATACTCTCTCCCCTGACCAGCTATTTAAAATCATAGCCCCCAGTGTCCCCCCTAATTCCTCTCCTACTTTCCTTTTCTCTTTAGCTCTTAGCATCATCTACTCTATTACATATTTTGCTTATTTATTTTTGCTGTCTCTTCCCAGTATCTCTTGCATTTAGACTCCCTGAGCTCAGCCTGAGATTCTCCTGGTTTTCCTCCTCCACCGTTGCTGCATTCCCTATGCCCAGAGCAGCACTGTGACCCAGCAGGTGCTGTAGGGGAGCAGAACGTGGCACCCCCAAATCTGGCACCCCAATGTGCCTCTGGCATGAGCATACATTCAGGCTGATTATTATTTTCTTTATTTGTAATTGAAGGATAATGACAGTATTGTATTGGTTTCTGCCATAGATCAGCACGGATCAGCCACAGGGATATATATATCCCCTCCGTCTTGAGCCTCAGGCTGATTATTTTTTTAATAAATGGAAGTCTTAGGAAGTTTTTCTTGTTATCTCTCCCTAACTCGACCTAAAAGAATTTAGATAAAGGGCCTGTTTCCCCAGAATAGGGCTGTCGCCAGAGGGGTCTGTGAGGACGATGGGCCGGGTGTGGTGGGACGCTCGGCAGGGCCTGAAGGTGACAGCGCCTCCATCAGAGTCCTGTCCACGTCCTGTCTTCTCTGCCAGTCCAACCAGCACTCCTTTACCAAGCAGCTGCTTCCCTGTCTCCAGGTGCACTGCCTTCCTCCCCAACCAGACCCAGCATCCTCCTTTGTCTTCAGCTGAAGGTGATGTTTAAGGAGAGGGTTTGGGCACTTTTGTCGAGTCACTCAGTTCTCCTGGGCCCCTCTCAAGTGAACATATTGCTAAACTCTTGATTTTCTTCTGTTAATCTGTCTCATGTCAACTTAATTCTTAGACCATCTGGAAGGACCTAGAAAGGCAGAGGGAAATCCCTTCCTCCCTGACTGTGCTCATGTCTGCAGGAACCCACGAATGGGTGAATGAACATTCCCTTTAGAGATTCTTAAGCTGAAACACTCTAGGAAATTCCTGATGTGAGTAAGAAGTTTTGATCTGTTTCTTACTATATCACTCTGCAGTCAGTAAGCCAGTTAGTTACAAATGTAAAATTATCCCTCTAAGTCATTGTAAATTATCCTCCTCACAAACCTACACATTTGATTAAAGTAAGATTGTTTCTAAAGCAAAAGTTCTGAACTTGTCTTCAGGGAGTTTGTAAATACATTAAAATTGAAGGCAAATTTTTGATTGTTAGGTGTTGATTATTTTCCTTGAGAAAGAGTCCATAAATTAACCATCATGTTTTCAGTGGTTTAACAAAAAATGACAATAACAGCAAGGATTAAGAACCATGCCGTTTGGGACAATAAACTATGAACTGAAGGTAGAGGAGCTTTGCAGTGGCTACTGTTCTCCTGGGCACTCGCCTGCCATTCATAAATAAGGCTGAGACCCAGAGGCTCCAGGGCTCAGGGAGACGAGCGGGAGGGGAGGGTGCTGATGGCCACAGTGGGCAGGATGAAGGCAGGGATGTGAGCAAAGTTCTCCACTCCCACTAAAAACAGGGAAAATGCCAGAAAAAAAGAAGTCATGGGAGTAAAACAGCAGTTTATGCACTGCAAGAATTTGACTGATCATTGAATAGTTTTTCCAGGTTTCAGGATGGCTTTGAAACCAAAAACGGCAGGCAGTGGGAAGCCAAATAATCACACATAATAAAATAATAGCCCACACTCTCCTGTCACTCGAGAGGCTTCTTTTGTTTTTGTTTTTTTTTCCCACTAGCCTACCTCTTACACGTTCCCCAGCAACCTTCCTAGAGATGAGACATACACTTTCTATACAATTCCCGTTTTTGATTCATATATACTCAAGGAACAGATGGCACACCAGTTATGTTCCTTTTTTGTTTTAAACCACTAAAACTTTGAAAGAATCTAATACTGAATAAGGGGAATTTCACTGAATTTTGAGATCTGAATGAAAAGTGGATTCTATGCCTGCTGAGACTGTGCCCCCTCCAGCATCCTGGGTCAGTGCATCTCCGTCACCGGTGTAGGCACAGGTGTGACCCTGACCTCCCCCGTAGGGTCAGAGGTGACCTCGGCCAGCTCTCATCATATATGTATGGATGTGAACCCCAGGCTCAGGGCAGGGCAGGAAAGCATTGTAACAGATCCCATGAGTTAACAACGGTCCCACAGATCTCCTGGGAGACAGTGGCTCCAGGGAACCAGCCGTGAGGGCTTCCCCAGTTGATTCTCCTGCACTCTGCTAAAAAGAGTTTTCTCGGACCATCACAGTCATCAGCTGCCTCCAATCCCATGAGGCCCCTGGGATTAAGGCTTTAATGGGCCCTGAAAGGACACAGCAGGTGCTCAAATGCACTCTGAACAATCCGGGGACTGACCACTAGTCCAGCGGGTGACTCACAGCGAGCCCGTCTCTGACTTACCGGCTTTGCTAGTTTCACTGAGGATTTCTTTAATTAGATGGTGATTATGGTTTTGTGTGTCAGCTGAACCAGAGTCCAGGCTTCCGGGACTAGGGATTGTTTGGGAATTAAAGATGCTGTGGCAGCCCTCAGTATGTGTAGCATCTTCCCAGCCCCTTCCCTTCCAAACAGAGAGGCGTTGCAACTCCCCAACCTGAGCTGAAGCATAGCCAGGTGACCTATTTGGTGGATATCATGTGAATGGAAGTAACATCTCTTTAAATTTTGAACACTAATCCCAAATTGTACTGGAGTGCTGCCTTCACCTTACTGTGCCCACCTCTTCTCGTGTTTTGCTATTGATGTCTGTTTGATCTGCAAGTGAAGCTCAACGCCTGTCCCGTGAGGCATCCCTCAAGGAGAAATGACCTTGAGGGGCTTAAATGTGCAGACACAATGCTTCCCAAATAGCCTTTGGTTGGTCAGATGATGGGGGCTGTTTTAAGAGTCACTGGTTTTCCAGAACCACAGCACTTACTATAGGAATTCTGGTGGGCTTTATGAAATGAGATGTTAGAAAATAAGCATGAAACAGTACAAATAAATCTTTATAAAGTTTAGATTCTTTTCATCTTTAAGCCCAATCTGTGGATGGTGAGCCATGATACTGAGTACACTCACTTTCACATCTGAGTTGTTACCAAACAGGTTTGAATCTCAAAACACAACAGAGCATAAGACAATCCTTGAATCGGCACGTGTATGTGTGTGGTTGTGGGTCTGTGTGTGGTTGTGGGTCTGTGTGTGGTTGTGGGTCTGTGTGTGGTTGTGGGTGTGGCTTGTTTTACAAACTTAAGCAGACTCAGCTACAGTGCCGACTGTCACACTGACACCTACTTGGTGGGGCTGCAGGTGTGGAAGGCCTTCAGGTGCGGCTTCCAAGTTGCAATGGAGACAGATTTCTCATCAGCTGCGTAACTACGCCAAACGCACTGCACACGGCACATGTGGGGACATAAGAAAGAAATACAAAAGAGAGAAGGGGAAAGAATGCAATGAGGAGGAGATAAGCAAATTCATACAGATGAAGCAGCTTTTCCTTGTCATGTTCAGCCCCGATAAACACCTGAGTTGAAGAAGACTCTGGCATGTTCGGCCAACTGTCATACATACTCCATCACATCTGAAGAACTGCTTTTCAAAATAACTCATATCAAAAGTAAAAGCACTGCAAAGCCTAACACAGGAGTTTTGGGACTGGTTAGGGGGAGACATGAGAGGTGACTATGCCTCCTGGGAGCACATACTTCATCAACACTTGTGAGAGAAAGGAAATCCATAGTGCAATTAGTAAATTAATTAGTAAGCTAGCTGGTTAACTGATGACCACCAGGGCATGTTAGTGGTATACTGAAATCCCTTGAGGTTGAACCACACAGTACTTCTAATGCTAACAATGAAGGCACTTTTAAACAAGGTAGGGCAATGTATTCTCCAGAATATGACCAGAAAGCACATAAGGATTTAACGTTGGCATCTAAGAACACGCTCATAGCTCTTTGACGTAAAACACAGGCTTGGTCTACTTCTCATAATTACATCCCATACATGTGATACAAAGTATTTTCATGTAACTTTCACAGATTGGAGTCTGGGTTAAGACCCTTATTTTGTAAATGAGAAAATAAAGGCTCAGATAAATTCAGAAGTTAACACAAGGTTGGCAGAGGTGAGACGTCATCTCAGGTTGCCTGGCTCTTGTTCTTAGCATCTCTCCCTGGTCCTTGCTGCCTGCTTGGTGACTGCTGTTGGAAGCTTCCCTCTGAACTGTCTATCAGAGAGATTGCCTGAAGTTACTTTCCACAGAGATTTTGGTGAATTTCTTCCTTTGCAATAAGTCTGCAAACATCTCTAGGGACCAAGTGTTTACTTTACTCTCCTGAGAGGAAATTTTTTAAGTCATAAATCAAAACATTCTATTTTGTGTGGCAAATTCATATAAACAGGTCACAGTCCCTCTGTCTGACCCTCATTCATGATTTTGAAACCTATGATGAAGAAAACAGTGATCTAATAATATTCCTTTCCATGAGATGATCATTGAATAAATGTGTGCAGAAAAAAAGACTTAAAGTTGATATAACTAAAAAAAAAAACTAAAAAAAAGTTGATATAACTAATTTGGAAAACTTTGGCCATATTTATTAAAGCTGAAGTATAAATACCTTATAGTACAGCTACTCACTCTTACATCTATATTTAACAGATTTGCTTATAAGTTCATCAAAAGAGGTGTACTATAATGTTGAAAATAGCACTATTTATTTTTAACCTTAATATGAATTTTCCTGTTTATTTATTTATTGAAGTAAATGGCAAATAGATGGGGAAACACTGGAAACAGTGGCTGACTTTACTTTTGGGGGGCTCCAAAATCACTGCAGATGGTGATTGCAGCCATGAAATTAAAAGATGCTTACTCCATGGAAGCAAAGTTATGACCCACCTAGACAGCATATTAAAAAGCAGAGACATTACTTTGTCAACAAAGGTCTGTCAAGTCAAGGATATGGTTTTTCCAGTAGGCATGTACGGATGTGAGAGTTGGACTATAAAGAAAGCTGAGCGCCGAAGAATTGATGCTTCTGAACTGTGGTGTTGGAGAAGACTCTTGAGAGTCACTTGGACTGCAAGGAGATCCAGCCAGTCCATCCTAAAGGAGATCAGTCCTGGGTGTTCATTGGAAGGACTGACGCTGAAGCTGAAACTCCAATACTTTGGCCACCTGATTCGAAGAGCTGACTCATTGGAAAAGACCCTGATGCTGGGAGGGATTGGGGGCAGGAGGAGAAGGGGACGACAGAAGATGAGATGGCTGGATGGCATCACTGACTCGATGCACATGAGTTTAAGTAAGCTCCGGGAGTTGGGAATGGACCGGAAGGCCTGGTGTGCTGCAATTCATGGGGTCTCAAAGAGTTGGACACGACTGAGCCACTGACCTGAACTGAACTGAACTGAAGTTGGTGCATAATATACGGGTATACAATATAGTGATTCACAATTTTTAAAGGTTTATATTTCATTTATAGTTATATTGGCTTGGAGTTCCCTGGTGGCACAGTGGATAGGAATCTGCCTGCCGATGCAGAGGACACAGGTTAGATCCCTGGTCCAGGAAGATTCCATGGAGCAACTAAGCCACGTGCCACAGCTTCTGAGCCTGTACTTTAGAATCCGTGAGCTGTAACTACAGAGACTTTGTGCTGCAACTAGTGAAGCCCGGGTGGCCAGAGCCTGTGCTCTGCAATAAGAGAAGCCCCCGGCAATGAGAAGCCACACGCCACAGCAAGGAGTATGCCCTGCTCACTGAAACTATACAAAGTTGGCACAAAGCAACGAGGACATAGCAAAGCCCAAAGTGAATGAGTAAACAAATAAAAAAATTAACTATTGGCTGTGTTCCCATGTTACACAACGCAGCCTTGTGGCCTATTTATTTTGTACATAACAGTTTGTGCCTCTTAATCCCCTATCCTTACCTTGCCCCTCCCCTTTCCACTGGCAGCCACTATTACTGTGCTGTTCTCTCTACGTGTGAGTCTAACCAGCTCTAGCCCTTTTAAAAACCTGAAGTAGAGCTGATGTAGACCATTGTGTTAGGTATCACAAAGTAATTCTGTTATACACATATCTAGTTATTTTCAGATGCTTTTCCCATACAGGTTATCACAGAGTATTGTGTGTAGTTTCTTGTGCTATACAGTAGGTCTCTATTCATCTATTTTATATATAGTATTGTGCATATGTTAATCCTAAACTCTAAATCTATCCCTGCCCTGCACCTTTCTCCTTTGGTAATCATAGATTTGTTTTCATCTATTTTATATATAGTATTGTGCATATGTTAATCCTAAACTCTAAATTTATCCCTGCCCTGCACCTTTCCCCTTTGGTAATCGTAGATTTGTTTTCATCTATTTTATATATAGTATTGTGCATATGTTAATCCTAAACTCTAAATTTATCCCTGCCCTGCACCTTTCCCCTTTGGTACTCATAGATTTGTTTTCATCTATTTTATATATAGTATTGTGCATATGTTAATCCTAAACTCTAAATCTATCCCTGCCCTGCACCTTTCCCCTTTGGTAATCGTAGATTTGTTTTCTATGTCTAAACAGTGCATGTGCATGCTAAGTCGCTTCAGTCGTGTCCAACTCTTTGTGACTCTATGGACTGTAGCAGACTAGGCTCCTCTGTCCACAGGATTCTCCAGGCAACAATACTGGAGTTGCCATGCCCTTCTCCAGGGGATCTTCTGGACCCAGGAATGGAACCCGCATCTCTTATGTGTCCTGCATTGTCAGGTGGGTTGTGTACCACTAGCGCCACCTGGGAAGCCTTCCTAATAAACCAAAGTCAGGAATGTTTAAGCAGCTGTCAGGACGAGGAGCAGGTGGGCTGTGGTATGCTGACACAGTGGGGCATCACACAGGAACCGTCCACTATAACTATGCCCAACAATGTGGATGAACTTTGCATGAGCACTGTCGAGAGAAACAAGACACAGAGGAGTACACATTTCGTGATTCTCCTTCCTCACAGCACAAGGCAGGGGGGCTGGTCCTTGCTGTGAGCAGGCAGTGCAGGGCTCCCCTGAGGGAGGGGGGACCCTGGGACCCTGGGGTGCTGGCCTGGGCTGCTCTTCTGCTGGTTGCTGCAGGCATGCAGCGCAGTTTTCTAGGAGCTTTGCTGCATCCCTCAAGCACCTTATACGTCAATAAGATGTTCCAGAGTGATATAAAAAAGTGGGGAAATATATAGTAGGACCTGAGGGTTCTTATGTTATTGAGGAAGGCTTAAGTAAGTGACGCCGCTTCCTTGCCCAGAGCCTTCCTCACACAGCTCATGTTGATATAACCTACAAATCTCTCAAGACTTATGCTACGCATCTTGGCATCTTATAGAGAACAAAGCAATTATTATATCATCCTGAAACATTAATTTTGGCAAATACCGTACAAACACAATCTACAAGTGATACTGAGTAATCAGTAAAGACATATGGTTTTATTATCGTAGCCGAAGAATTGATGCTTTACAACTGTGATGCTAGAGAAGACTCTTGAGAGTCCCTTGGACTGCAAGGAGATCAAACTCATCAATCCTCAAGGAAATCAACCCGTGGAAGGACTGATGCTGAAGCGGAAGCTCCAATATTTTGGCCACCTGATAGGAAGACTCAAATCATTGGAAAAGACCCTGATGCTGGAAAAGATTTGAGGCAGGAGGAGAAGGGGGTGACAGAGAATGAGATGGTTGGATGGCATCACCGACTTGATGGACGTGAATTTGAGCACATTCTGGGAGCTAGTGAAAGGAAGCCTGCAGTCCATGGGGTTACAAAGAGCTGGATAAGATTGAGCGAGTGGACAACAGCTTCTACAGTGAAGGCCAGAGGGCCCATCCCCACCCACGTGGCTTTAATAAGACAACTTTCATGGAAGGAGTCGGATGTATGTGAACTCAGATACTTTGGAAGCAGGACTCACATAGAAGTAAGAAGTACATAGCAGGTCAGAGCATTATTAGATAAAAGTGAAAAAAACATCTGAAATAACAGCACAACAACAACAACAACAAAAAATGGGACCAAGACATTACCTGCCAATGTTATAAAGAACTAGGGGCAAAATAGGCCACTCTAAGAAAATTGAACATTTTCTTAACAATGAGATCTGGCTTCTTACTCTTTTTCTATCAAATTTATCTCAACAGCTAAGCTCTATTCTCTCCATTACGCTTCTCCTAAAAATACCTTGTAAATGGGAGAGCAGGGAAGCCAGTGGACCCTGCCTCAGGGCTGATGCTAGTTAGCAGTCAAAGTGGCAGGGGGCGAGTCTATTATTCTCACCCTCCAATACCTCTGTCCTGTCCTCAGCTCTTCCTCAGCTAATCTCTTCTTGAAGCTGAACCCAAGGCCACAGCC